TGCCCAACCTTCCTTCCAAGGAGTGGCTGGTGGGTTTGAACCGCCAGCCTTCTGGTTAGCAGTCAAGTGCCTTAGCCACTATGCTACCAGAGCTCCTAATCTAATTGTTTAGCCTGTCCACCTATCTATCTGTCCATATACCCATGTTTGCTTTCACTGACAACTCAGTACTGTATATGCAAAAGGGTTCACATTTGTTGTCTGTACTACAGCAGCTTAATCTTAAGGTTTAAAGTTATTAAACCTTAAACTGCCAGCCTCATGACCCCTACTATACCTGAGCCCATCACTGCAGCCACCATGTCAATATTTCACCTTAGTCTTCAAGGAGACTTCTTTGCTCTTCAGCCCTTGAAAGAGGTTTTTTTTTTGCAACAGATTTGTCCAATGCAATATGTAGACATAGAGTTTTGGGAATTAGAAGAATAGAGTTTACTTTACATGATATTCTACTTTTGTGAGTATTACTAATAAAACTTTTTGTTTGTTTATTTTTATTATTTCAGTATGTGACATCAGTGGAAGAAAATAGAATTGACGTGGAAATCTTACGTGTTACTGTTGAAGATAAGGATTTAGTTAATACAGCTAATTGGAGAGCTAATTATACCATTTTAAAGGGCAATGAATATGGAAATTTTAAAATTGTGACAGATCCAAAAACCAATGAAGGAATTCTGTGTGTGGTTAAGGTAAGAGTAAATTAATAAATTAATCATTTGTAGTTTATAATATCATAGGTTAGCTTACTAACATTTAATGAAATGTAAGTAATTCTAGTAAGTGTAGGAATCAAATAAATATGTTTGTTGTTGTCATGTGGCATTGAGTCATCTCTGACTCATAGCAACCCTATGTACAACAGAACAAAGCACTGCCCAGTCCTATGCCAGCCTCACGACCCCTACTATACCTGAGCCCATTGCCATAGCCACCATGTTAATCTTCTTGTTGAGGGCTCTTTCATTGACCCTCCATTTTACAAGCATGACATTCTTCTCCAGAGAATGATCCCTTCTGACAACATGACCGAAGTAGGTGAGATGAAGTCTGGCCATTCTCTCTGCCAAGTAGCGTTCTGACTGCACTTCTTCCAGGACAGATTTGTTATTTCTTTTAATAGTCCACAGGACTTTCAGCATTCTTTGCCAACACCACAACTCAGAAACATCAACCCTTCTTTGGTCTTCCTTATTCAATGTTCAGCTCTCACATGCATATGAGGCTATTGAAGATACTGTGGCTGGGGTTAGGTGCATCTTAGTCTTCAAGGTGACTTCTTTGCTCTTCAGCACTTGAAGAGGTCTTTTGCAACAAATTTGCCCAATGCAACATGTCTTTTATGTCTTGACTGCTGCTTCCATTGGCGTTGATTGTAGAACTGCTTATCTGTCCCATTGTGAGGATTTTTGTTTTCTTTATTTTGAGGTGTAATCCATACTGCAGACTGTAGTCTTTAATCTTCATCAGTAAGTGCTCCAAATCATCCTCACTTTCAGAAAGCAAAGTTGTGTCATCTGCATATCTCAGGTTGTTAATGGCTCTTCCTCCAATCCTTATGCCACTTTCTTCTTCATATAGTCCAGCTTCTTGGATTATTTGTTCAACATACAGTTTGAATAAGTATGGTGAAAGGATACAACCCTGACACACTCCCTTCCTGATTTTAAACCACACAGTATCTCCTTGTTCTATTCGAATGACAGCCTATGTACAGACTATATACCAGTTCCTCATGAATAATATTAAGTGTTCTAGATTCCCATTCTTCTTGATGTTATCCATAACTTGTTATGATCCACACAATTGAATGCCTTTGCATAGTCAGTAAAACACGAGTAAACATCTTTCTGGTATTCTTTGCTTTAAGCCAAGATCCATCTGACATTAGCTATGATATCCCTCTCTCCACATCCCCTTCTGAATCCAGCTTACATTTCTGGAAGTTCTCTGTCAATGTACTGCTGCAACCATTTTTGAATTATCTTCAGTAAGATTTTACTTGTATGTGTAAATAAATATGTAAGTAAATGTGAATAAAATGTTCATAGTAAATGTAATGGAATGTACATATTTATTTTTGAGAAACATTTATTTTTGAGAAAACATAAAGGCACAATTTAAAGAAAATATCTTATTCATGTTTTCAACTAATATGACAGAGTATCCACCTTGTAATCAATACCTCTTAACAGTTCAAAAACTAATACAGCTTTGATGCCAATGGGGCAGTGTCAAACTTTCCTTGCCCATTTTTTCTGTACCTGGGTCAGGGAGCCACCTCTTGATTACTGAATTGCCCAAATGATACGTTACTCAGTCCCATGTTGAGGCTGTTTGTTGGTCTGTTCATCTGTGTCCACTGTACATAGCATCCTTAGTATCCAGGTTCAGTATGGGCATCCTCAGCCATTCAAAGACGTGAACACTTCTAAAACCCCTTTCTGCTATTGTTCTACAGCCTCTCAGAGGAACTCACTGCTAATTCAGGAGCCAAAGTTAGACCTCAAGTGACCTGAGCTCCTTTTGTCTTGGAAAAATTCATACTTTTAGCTCTACCACATCATTAGGTAGAATATGATTCCATCATGGATCTGGGAATTTCCCTTTTGTACATATTCTCAAGGACCATGCATCAAAAATGATAGCAAGAGATAAAAAGGAAAGTGTGATCTCCATAAACTTTCCATTTTCGTGAGCCTATCCTTTGGAAATTATTTACAAAATTTGACCAACTTCTTTTAGCCCAAACCAGGCACAAGTAGTAATTTTCTTCCTTTCATGAGGGTAGGACAAGCTGTCCTATATTGTTGTTGTTAGGTGCTGCCAAGTCAATGAATAAATAACTATTGATTGGGTACTACTACAGCAGTATCAAGTATTAACCTCCACACACCTTTCTTAACCTATGATAGACACAAATGTAAATAAATATATATATATATGCACTTGACTGCTAACCAGAAGGCTGGTGGTTCAAACCCACCCAGCCACTCCTCAGAAGGGAGGTTGAGCAATCTACTTCTGTAGTGATGCCACCTTGGAAACCCAAGGAGGGGTCACTATGAGTCAGGTCCAACTCTATGGCTCATTGTAACAACAATAATAAACTATCAGAACCAAAAATACTACTGTGTTAAATTTGCAGTTGAGTAACAGTATTTCTTTTTTGCTTGTTCCACCCAAATACTGGATCAGCTGAAGGATTCCTCTCCTCCTCCCCCTCCCACCATGTTTCTGGGTATATGTTCACCACCCTCATGATTATTCTCAACACAGGATTGACATATTTCTAATTTTCACTAGTTATGTATACTAGTTGGTGTTGCAAGATTTTAAAGGACTTGATCTGATTTCAGTACACTTGCTTTTGCAGCCTCTGAATTATGAAGAAAGACAACAGGTAGTCCTGCAAATTGGCGTACTTAATGAAGCGCCCTATTCTAAAGAGGCTATTTCAAGATCAGCTATGAGCACAGCGACAGTTACTGTAAACGTGAAAAACCAGGATGAGGGCCCAGAGTGTAGCCCTCCAGCACAAACAGTTAGAATTAAAGAAAACTCACCCGAGGGAACAAGGAGCAATGGATACAAAGCTTATGACCCAGACACCAGAAGTAGCAGTGGCATAAGGTATATACATTTAATTCTACTTCAGTTAATTTTAAATTTAGTTTGGCTTTTAAATTTATAACTGTTCATGTGACTCTAATACTATACCTTTTATTGTTTGAATTCGTCATAATTAACAGGTATAAGAAATTAAATGACCCGGAAGGGTGGGTCAACATTGATGAAAATTCGGGGTCAATCATAGTTTTTAGAAGCCTGGATAGAGAAGCAGAGACCATCAGAAATGGTATATATAACGTCACAGTCCTTGCATCAGATAAAGGTAAGAATGTTATTTTTAAGCCAGCTATATACATGTTCAGTTTGTATTTCTCCCCAGAATGATATATAAATAATTAAAAGGTTTGCTCTAATTTGTTAACTGATCTCTGTTTTCTAATAACATCTTCCATTTTAGATAAAATTATAAAATAACTCATTTGTAGAAATATTTGAAATCATAATTTAAGTTAAATAATCACTAAAAATGAAGAAAATTACCTTCAATTTATCTAGTCACCTCTCTTAAAATATTCACTCTGGCTGAAAAGTTCATTCTAGATTGTCATTGTGTTGTTGTTATGTGCTGTCAAGTCGGCCCTGACTCATAGCAACCCCTCCTTGGGTTTCCAAGTAGATTGCCCCATCTTCCTTCCGAGGAGTGGCTGGTGGGTTTGAACTGCCAGCCTTCTGGTTAGCAGTACATGCTTATTGCTACATAGTGCTCTCCTAAAAAGCACTTAGATTTTTACAGGAAACTGGAAATATAGTTGGGATTAGACTTCTAATTATGGACATTGTTTAAAAATAAATATTTGTCATGATTATTAACATATTATGAAATTGTTGTTGTTATTTGCCGTCGAGTCGGCCCCGACTCATAGCGACCCCTCCTTGGGTTTCCGAGGCAGTTATCACTACGGAAGTAGGATTGCCCAAACTTCCTTCCAAGGAGTGGCTGGTGGGTTTGAACCGCCAGCCTCCTGGTTAGCAGTCAAGTGTCTTAGGCACTATGCTACCAGAGCTCCCTATGGAGACAAAATTAAAAATCCTTATAATTATATAATATGTAAAATAATATTCTGTAAGTCCCATAAAATTGAAGAAATATGAGCACAGTGATTATATTGAGAGTATTTTGTACATAAAATATAATCTTAACATAGCATGCATTTAAACTTTTTACCTTTCTGAAATAAATCACACTAATAAACAAATTCTTAAACATTAGTTTGCAGAACTAGAATTTAAAATTGACTTCGGAAGATACTTAGGTATTACAAATTCTCTCTAAATTAAGAGAAGGCTCTTTTATCAATTACCTGAATTGGCAAAGTTGTAATCCTTATTGAGTTATCTTAAGCTAATTAAAGACTGTCCTATAAGGTCTGAGCTTCTCTTGTCATTTTCAGGTTATTTTTCTTCTTTTTATTTGCTTTTTCATCAAAGGCAAATGAAAAAAACTAAAATAACATAAAAATCAGATTCACAGTTTTTCACGTTTTTAAAGGCACTTGACAAATGGTTTGTGGAGACATGAGACAAAAATTACTGTTTGAAGTTTGAGATTATCATTATTATTTTTTTCTACATCTTCTGTTGCAATGTGTAATTGAGGAGATCAAATACTTTTATGAAGTATAGATGATGCATTGTTAATCATCATTGTGGTACAGAGTAAGTGTGTGATGAGGCCTTTCTGGTTCTTTTTTTTTTTTTTTTTGAAGAGGGTAAAAAAATACCATAGACATGGAATTTTGGATGAATATTTGTCTTTATGAACTGACATCATACAAAATTATGGGGGTTTTTTAAAAGCTTTTTTCTGAAATCTACATTTGCGCCCTTACTACTGCTTCCTAAGGACAAGTGCTTTCTCCTCGTGTTCAACCTTCCTACTTCTCAAAGCACAAGTCTCTATGGAGTGTTTCCTTCTTTTAAACTCTCTTTCCCAAGGCTTCTATGTCTATACTTTTCCCACACATTCCTCTCTCTTCTGAACAGTTTCTGGTTTTGCTATCTTCCCCTCTCCTATTTAGAGGTATTTCTGAAGCTTTGAGTTAAGTTTCTCTTTTCCTCTTAACCTCTTCTCAATCGAAACTTGCTTGGCAGTTTCAGCCAGGTGTCTCCTCTACATAGGTGAGTTTTAGGCTTCATTAATTTTGGTATTATTCTAGGGTTTTTGTTTTCTTAGTGAGAACACTCAAATATTTTAATACATATGATATGAGAGTAAGGAACACTGGTGGCACAGTGGTTAAGCACTCAGCTACTAACCAAAAGGTTGGTGGTTCAAATCCATCAGCCACTCCACTGGTGGAAAGATGTCTACTTCTGTAAATATTTGAAGCCTTGGGAACTCTATGTGTTCTATTCTATAAGGTTGCTATGAATCAGAATTGACACAGTCTCTGTGGCTCCTGGTTCAGAACCAATTCATGGCTAGGTGGCATTGAGCTTCTGCCCCATGATGACCCTGAAGATATCACAGACCCCGTCACTGTGCCACAGCTGCCTTGGTCAAAGCTGTATCTGTTCTTCCACCTTTCAAATTTGGGCGACTTTGCATAAAACATAACTCCAGGCACTGATGGCAAAGGTGTTTTCCTCTTTACCATGCTGAGTGTCCAAGGCCTCCTTATTAGGTAGAAAGAATAGAGGACATAGACAAAAATTCTGGATTTGCTTTCAGCTTTGGAATTTGTAACCGTGCTACCAACTTGAAGTCTGTTTCCATACCTACTTCATCTTTTAATTCCCCAGATTGTGTAGTCCAGTGACTTACACAAAGTAGTTATTCAGAAAGTTTTTGTTGATCATTAGATAGGTGAATTAGATTAAACTTTAATCTAATTATCATTAGATAGACTACACGAACAGTGATTATTTCAGTTTGCAAGTGATTTTCCATTTTTGAAGTCCTTCACCCTCCAAACGTTTCCAAGTACTATTTTTTATCCTAATCTTCCAAATATATAGCTTCTTGCATTCATTTTCTCTGCTCCAAACTTTACATGCTTTCTATTTGTGCCTTAAACTCTAAGCTTCCTACTATGGCATTCATGGAGCCCTTACCCTTATTTCTGGTGTCAGCACCCACCTGTCTTTCCTTTTATTGTCCTCAGATCATATTGCAAGCATACTGTGCTTTCCAACCTCTTAAATTTCCCTGTGCTTTTAAATACACCAGAAATGCCCTTGTTCATACTCTCTCCTATCTCTTTTTAAAAATCAGTCAAAATTCACCTCTGTAAAAATTCTCATGTCTATTCCAGATTTTTAGTGAGTGAAGGAACATATCTGAATAGCAGTTGATATGTGTAAAACCCATTTTAAAATATTAGGATTTTTCTTCTCATATTCCTGAGGGTATAACTTTGGTGGTAACTTGTGCATTATAGATGGTAAGTATACAGTCTTTAAATATTTTCAATTCATAATTTCCTAGTGAAAACTCAAAACATTCACTTTTATTTCTGTTTTTCTAGATGGTAGAACATGTACTGGGACATTGGGAATTATACTGGAGGATGTGAACGATAATGGCCCATTCATACCCAAACAGACAGTGGTCATCTGTAAGACCACTATGTCGTCTGCTGTGATTGTTGCTGTTGATCCTGATGAACCTAAAAATGGTCCACCCTTTGAATTCACTGTGGAGAGTCTTCCTGGTTCAGATTTACAGAGAGCGTGGGAACTGACAAAACTTAATGGTATGTCTTCCTAAACATTGTTTTATTCTTTTCAACATCAGGATGTCTAAAATATATTTTTCTTGATAATTCAGTATGTGAGAGCCACCAATGAAAGATAGTAAATTTCTCAGTTTTAGTGGGATGGGAGGTGGGCCAATCTCCTGTCTGTCTCTAATCCTGTACTGGATTCACTTAGATGTTGCATGAATTCTCACTCTCACTACAAACACACATACCCCTCAGAGCAGTCTAACACAGTAAGTTCCTGATTTGTATATCTCCTGCCTACATAGTTTTCTTTTATTATGATCCTTTATGTTAATAGGTTCTAGGTCTTAAGAGAGCCTCTACTTATTGTTGGCTTGGCTCTCCATGAAGCAAACTGAGAAAGTTAATCAGAAAGGATGTTTATTAAGAAACATTCTTGGGACCAATAGCCAGGAAAAGAGGAGGAAGCAAGATTGGCAGGAAGAGAAGTCAAGCTGAATCCTAGGCCAGATGACAGCTTCAGCTAATGACATGGGGACTCTGGAGCTAAAATGACCCCTCAGAGTGGTTCCAAGTTGAACCTTTACATATGCTATACTCATTGCTGGAAGCTCTGGTGGTGTAGTGCCTAAGGCACTTGACTGCTAACCAGAAGGCTGATGGTTCAAACCCACCAGCCACTCCTTGGAAGGAAGGTTGGGCAGTCTACTTCCATAGTGATATTGCCTCAGAAACCCAAGGAGGGGTCGCTATGAGTTGGATCCGACTCAATGGCAGTGGGTATACTCATTGCTCACTCAGTGGATGTGGGTAAGATGTTTGGCAAGATGGTACAATCACTGAAGGTGCTGACAGCTCTCTGGACAGTTGGGTTAATAATCCCTTCTTTGCAGGGGGATCTGGGAGTGTATCACAGTGCCCACCATAACATCCCGTTTCTCTGCCACCATGCTAGCATCTTACCATTTCTTCTCTATCATGTGCTACTTGGGATTCTAACTTGATTCTCAGTCTGTACTTTTATGACAGGATCTAATATGCTAAGAATGACTAAAGGGAGTTGAACCCCTCTTCACACTTCCATTGAACCACTGCCTACATCAGCTCTTAATTCTTTAGCACTTCCTCAGACTTCTGCCCACATTGTCCCTGGATCTCAATGTCATGGTCTACCTGGACTCCAGCTTTTTCCACTGTAAACTGAGTAGGGTTTACCTTTGTTATGCTCTTCAGTATTTTTCAAACTCATGCTTTCAATGAATATGCTTCAGTTTCCTTCTATGACAAATTAGAAAAGAAAGGTTGTGAGAGAAGACAGAAGGAAAATGGGCTTGGGAAAGAAAATGAAGACATCTTAGAAGCCAAGGTGCTAAGTTTAGACATTTTGTCTTATATTCTGCTCTGAGAACCGACAATAGGTTATGACAACATTTTGAGTTTTTCTACAGTATTGTGTGTGTGTGTGTTGTGTGTAAGATTTCAGCTGTTCTTTCTTGGAGAGAATTAGCCTTTTCCTTATATTTTGCCCTTTCTACTTGTTTGGTGTCAAAATATGATTCCTTTTTTAAATAGTTCAATAAGAGGCAGTGGTTTTGTTTTGATTTTTTATTATTCTTATTTAGTAAAAAAAAATAACATTGACAACAGGATGTTAGTCAAAACTTTGTTATTTTAAAGTTACACTGGTCTGGGAAATAATTCAAAACCTGGAGAATATCAAGTTAAGAAGTTCCTACACTGCAAAGATTTTGAAGTCAAATAGGCTTGGTGTCAAACCCTGGTTCTACTATTTATTAGTTACATAAATTTGACTGTGTTATTTATTCTCTATGAACACAGCTTATTGATGGGCAAAATTTACTTTTTAGGAAAGTAAATGAGATAGTGTGTAGCACATTATGAATCATATATTTTGATTTTATTAGTATCATTATTAATGTTTCTTACACAATAAACTTTTCTTTTAAAAAAATACTTGGTTGTGTTTTTGGTGAAAGTTTATGCAGCAGTTTAGGTTCCCAAACAACAATTTCTAAACAAATTGTTCTGTGACATTGGTTACATTTTTCACAATCCATGAACAGTCTCGTTATTTCTGTTCTGGTTGTTCTGTTTCCATTAATCTAGTTCCATGTCCCCTTACATTCTCATCTTTGTTTTAGAGTAATTGTTGACTGTTTTGTCTTATATAGATGATTTTTTAAAGGAGCAGTACATATATCAGTAATATTCATTATTTTTTTATCCCATTTTTTATTAGCTGCAAAGTGACCTCAGGTTAGTTTTAGTTCAGGGTTTGAAGAGTATCTCAGGATTATAGTCTTGGAGAACGCTCCAATATTAACCAGTCCAATAGGTCTTTTTTTTTTAGTTAGAAGTTCAGTTCCACATTTTTCTCCCATTCTCGCAGGACCCATCTATTTTTACCCTGATTAGAACAGATGGTAATGCACCATAGACTTATAAACATGCTTTCTTTTAAAAGTGATTTAACATCATGAATTTTCTACCCAAACACTCAAATTTCTACTTAGAACTTTAAACACTATATTTCAGGAAATGAAAAAGTCACAACAGTGGGTTAAGTGAATGAAGGATTGTTCTCTGATATATGGCATCAATATTCAGAATAATATTAGACTATATTGACTTTTGGCCTGGATATTTTCTATCTTTGATCTACAAAATACAATTTAAAGGAAAGGTCCCCATTTTCTTTAAGACGACAGGATGAAGTCCCAGCAGTGTGACTGCCTGCTATTTTCTTCAAGGGTCAGCTATGTTCTATATCTTCAAAATAAGTGTCAGACAATAAGTCATGAGTATTTATGGTTTTTTGGCACATTATATGAAAACAATTAGGAGGAAATATCGATATAGTCTATTACTTTCTGATTGATCAGATATAAAAGCAAGTGTACACTGAATGGCTTAATTAAATATTTTAAAGATATGATAAAACCAGTATCTTAACTAGTCCACTAATTATGGGAGGAAGAATCAGATGGACAGATTAAAATACACAAGAGCCAAATGACCTTTATATAAGAAGCAGTACAGACAAACTTTTATATGCAATGTGTTTGTAATGGCTGTAAAATAGGTCCCCACAGTCCCTTCTCATTTACAGTCCTGTAGCAATTGTGTCGTCCCATCAGGAACATCCATTGGTAGAAATGTATGATAAATTTTCTATGGTAGGTATTTATATTCAGCAGAAAATTTCAATGATATTTTATAATGTTTGGTTTTATTTTCTTTCAGATACAGCAGCACGCCTTTACAACCGGAATGACCTTCCATTTGGATCCTATGAAGTACCTATCAAAGTTTTCGATAATATGGGCCAGTCTAAAGTCACTTTAGTAAATGTTTTACTATGTGACTGTGTTACTGAAAATGACTGTACACTTCGTACAGGTGCAAGAACTGGCAGCGGAGATGTAAAACTTGGCAAATGGGCCATCCTTGCAATATTGTTGGGCATAGCATTGCTATTTTGTAAGTCCTTTAATGACTGCAAATAATAGTCTTTAAAATAACTTTAAAGATACATTCTTAAAATCAACACTATTAGCTATAGCTGTTCATTTGTATGTAGCTGTATTTCCATTCAGCATACAAATATATTTAACCTGTATATTTGAATACATTTATTTATAGTTCTAATGTCTTCTCAGTTAGCAAAGAAATAAAATTTGGCATAGAAATATGACATTTAGCATATATTTGCTTGTGGCATATCTGTTTACAGCACACATTTCTGTTGTATACCACTTGTTGTTGTTATGTGCCATTAAGTTGGACCCAACTCATAGCAACCGCACTTTGGGTTTCCGAGGCAGTATCACTACTGAAGTAGATTGCTCTTCCTTCCTTTCGAGGAGTGGCTCGTGGGTTTGAACCGCCAAGCTTCTGGTTAGCAGTCAAAATGGTTAGCACTGCTCCAACTTAGGCATAAGCAATCATATTTATGTGATCTGGAAAACTATCTTCTTTCAATATAAAGTTTTCCTATTTATGATTTACCTGTGTTTTAAAAGGAGCTCTGGTGGTGTCGTGCCTAAGGCATTTGACTGCTAACCAGAAGGTTGGTAATTCAAACCCACCAGCTACTCCAAGGAAGGAAGATGTAAAAATTTACAGCCTCAGAAACCCAATGGGGGTCTCTGTGATTTGGAATCAACACGATAACAGTGAGTTGGTTTTGTGTTTTAAAAGCCAAACTAAACTCATTGGCATTGACTTGATTCTAACTCATGGTAAATCCTTATGTGCAGAGTAGAATTGATGCATAGGGTTGTCAAGGCTGTGACCCGTAAGAAGCAGATTGCCAGGCGTCTCTGGGTGGGTTGGAACACCAACTTTTAGTTGGTAGTGGAGTGCTTAACCATTTGTGCCACCAAAGGATCACACCTGTGTATTATTCATAACTTCACATTCTTTTATGAGAAATGAGTAATTTTTTTCTTTCTGCAGGTATTCTATTTACACTAGTCTGTGGGACTTCTGGGGCAGGCAAAAAGCCAAACGTATTTCCAGATGATTTAGCTCAGCAGAACCTCATTGTGTCAAATACTGAAGCTCCTGGAGATGACAGAGTGGTGAGTAATGTGCATCTTTCTTAAGAAATGCAAAGGATGAATTGTCTTAACTTACCATAATTAACTTTTCTCAGTTATGTATTTTGATGTTAGATAACTTGCAATATATAAAATGTCATCACTTCCATCCAAAAAAACCAAACTCACTGCCGTCGACTCAGATCCGACTGATAGCGACCCCTCCTTGGGTTTCCAAGGCAGTATCTCTATGGAAGTAGATTGTATTCGTTTGGTAATAGAGACATTTCAGTCTGGTCATATGGTGTTTTTTAATAGTGAATACTTTAACATGTCATTATTATTTTCTTCTTCAAATATTTTGTGGTTTCAACTTTAGGCTTGGCTTTTCCTGTATTTTTAAACTGTTGTTTGTGTTGCTAAAATGTTTCATTTAATGATTCAGAGATCACTGGCATAATTGCTTTAATTTTTTTTTCCAGCAACAAAAATAAAATCACTACAAGCTTTGATCAGTGTGGGAATGACTTTAATGGAGTCTTTATGGCTGTAATATGGGTTAGAAAGAAGCCTGAGGTCAAATGTATGTTTTAGCAATGCTAGCAAGTGATTACTTTGTTTTCTACCCAGTTTGTGGAGAAGTCATTATACTTCCTATAAAAATCATAATCAAAGATTTTGGTGGGAAAGATTTAGGAAAATGAATGATGGCATGTAGGAAGAGATTGAAAAAATAAAACTTATGTCAGATTAGAATTTCCTACAAAAACACAACACAGAAAAATGAGTGGACAAAGCTTTTGTGCTCTTGCTATTTTCCCTGCCAGATTCACTTTTATTTACTTATATCACAAAGATTTATAGCCTCGGAAACCCAATGGGGGTCTTGTGGGTTGAGATCAAATCAATTGCTTTGAGTTTTTTTATTTTTTTATTTTGTGTTTTAAAAAACAAACCAAACTTGTTGCCATTGAATTAATTCCATCTCATGGTGACTCCTTATGTGCAGAGTAGAACTGATTCGTAGAGTTTTCAAAGCTGTGACCCTTAAGAAGCAGAATGCCTTAGGCACTGCACCACCAGAGCTCCTTATTACAAAGATTTGTTACTATGGTTAAGATTGTTATGGCAACTTTATCTCATTCTTCTTGTTTTAGTCGAAGGGGGACTGGATTAAATACTGAATAAAAATACTATTATGACTGTTTCTGCTCTAGTCAGGTGAAGGGGAATAAAGTTCAAATAAGCATGGTACATGTATGAAAATAATAATACAATAGTCATGATTTTGAGTTGTGAGAAGTTGGTAGGACTTAAGAAATGATGTCTTATTTAAAATATTTTAAGGAGATGTGTGTATATATATATATATCTGGGAGCTCTGGTAGCATAGTGCCTAAGGCACTGGACTGCTAAGCAGAGGGCTGGCGGTTCAAACCCACCAGCAACTCCTCGGAAGGAAGATGGGGCAATCTACTTCAGTAGTGATACTGCCTTGGAAACCCAAGGAGGGGTTGCTATGAGTCGGGTCTGACTCGAAGGCACATAACAACAACAATATATATATTTATTATTATTATTATTATTTTGGAGAAAATTTACATAGCAAATTAGGTTCTCAGTTAGCAGTTTCCATACATATTATTCAGTGACATTGGTTACACTTTTCATAATGTGTCTGCATTCTCATTCTTTCCATTCTGGATTCTGTTTCCATTAATCTAGCTTCCTTGTTTCCCCTTACCTTCTAATCTTTGGTTTACAGTAAATGTTGGTCCTTGGGTCTCATTTAGACAATTGTTTAGAGGAGCATAGTATTATGGGTGATATTATTTACATTATAAGCCACTCTGTCATTTGGCTGATAGGTGACTGCTACTCGACGGCACATAACAACAACAACAACAACAGGATTGGTTTGAGTTCCGAGTTTAAAGGGTAACCCAGGATGATATTCTTGGGAGAGTTTCTCTATTTTATAATCAGTCCAGTAAGTCTGTCCTTTTTTAGGAATTTAAGTTTTGTTGAACATTTTTTCCTATTCTTTCTGAGACCAGCTACTGAGTCTCATCAGAATTGTTGGTAGTGGTAACCAGGAACCATCTAGTTCTTCTGGTGACAAGGTAGGTGAGACTATGGTTCATGTAGACTATTAGTCCTGTAACTATCTTCTTCTTTGGTTTCCTTTTTTCTCTTTTGCTCCAGATACATAGACCAAGTTATCTTAGGTGGCCACTTGTAAGCTTTTAAAATCCCAGACCCTACTCACAAAAGTAGGGTGCAGAATGTGTTTTAAGAGCTGTGTTTTTCCTGTTTCCCAAGTTGTCCTCCCCAACCTTGAGACTATGGTCCTAAACCCAGTACCCAATCTTGCAAGGTATTTATTTATACCTAGGAAGTATCCATAACTGGTGCCTTGTATGTACTTTATTTTATATATGAATATATATGTAGCACTTGCAAACATACATATACATTTGCCTACAGAAACAGCTATACATGTGTAATTATATATGCTTATCTATATGTACATAAGCATATATATCTACTTATGTAATTATGCACATATTTTTGGTTGTTATTACTATTTTTGCAAAATTGTACATGTCGTGGCTTTTATCAAATCATCTCTTATCGTTCTATACTTCTTGGTGTCATCTTTTACTTTGGTCATGTTGTTCTGACTTCATCCTTATTTGGTATTGCCTTGCCCTTCACTAAAGCTAACAAGTGTCTACTGTTCAGAAAATGATTCCCCTTTCCTCTCTATCCCTAGTAACCACCAAAGAATGTTGTGTTCTGTATGTATGCCTGTTCTTGTCTTTTTGTAATAGTGAGGTCATACATTATTTGTCTTTTTGTGATTTGCTTATTTCATTCAGCACAACATCTTCCAGATTCATCTACGTTATAGTGTATTTTGAGAACTCTTCATTATTCTTTATGAATTGCAACCATAAGGAATAATGTAATAGTATTCCATTGTGTGTATGTACCACAGTTTGTTTTTCATTCATCTGTTGAAGAGAAGTTAGGTTGTTTCCATCTTTTTACTATTGTGAATAACACTGCAGTCAACTAGATGTGCATCTGAGAAGGTTTTAAAGAAGGCATGCACAAAAAACTATCTGATCTGTGAGAGTACAGATCACTTGACATCTGCGTTTTTTTTCCTGAGTCAGCACTACATTAAGTACTACGTTTGGCTTATAATAGTGGTTGTTAGCTGCCATTGAGTCGGTCCTCAGTGCATGACAACTCCATGCCTAACAGAACAAAATGCTGCCTGGTCCAGTGACATTCCTGTGATCTGCTGCAAATCCGATCATTGTGATCCATTGGGTTTTGAATATCTGATTTTTGGAAGTAGTTCTACAGGTCTTTCTGCTCAGTGCATCTTAGTTTGATACACAGACTTACAAAGACAGACGTGTCCCTGCCTTCCAAGAGCTTACCTTCTAGCACAAAAACAAACAAACATGACGTTATATGTGTGGTACTATTCTTTTTAATAATTAATTGCTTACTTCTGTCTTTCCTCAATGCAAACTGTTTTATTTCAGTGTGCCACAAATGGCTTTACATCCCATGCTGTGGGCAGTTCTGCTCCTGGAAACTGTGGTACCATGGGATCCAGAGTCAAAACTGGAGGGCAAGAAGCCATTGAAATGGTGAAAGGAGGACACCAGACCTTGGACTCCTGCCAGGGGGCAGGGCATCACCACACCCTGGAGTTGTGTAAGGGAGGTGGACACCACACCCTGGATTCCTGCAGGGGAGGACATGTAGAGGTGGACACCTGCAGATATAATTACTCAGAGTGGCAAAGTTACACTCAGCCCCGTCTTAGTGAAGTAAGTTACTCAGTGTTCTACAAACCTGTTTTGATATTCTTTTAAACATTTAAATGATTATAATTTAATGGCTGGATCTTTATAGTAATTATTAATCTATTCACTATAAAGTTATTTTCCTCCAATTTGATTTAATTCTGTTCAGATGTTTACTCTCCCTGCTATTTTGTTTTTTAATTCTCTTACTGAAATAATGAGTGATAATATTTAAATTACTTTTCTTGTGACTTTGTGCTAATATTTACCACTTGACAACTCATGTCTTAGAAAGCAAAGTGTGGCAGGAGGCAATACTGATGTGCACAATCACTGCCTTTTTGGAAAGATCTGAGCCTACATCAATTTGGGTTTAGTTTAATGGATACAGTTTGCTTTCAGCAATAATTGCAAAATAGAAAGTAGTGAATACTTACAATGAAAACTTAAAGACTTGCTGCCACATATCTGACTTTTAGAAACCTGCTATATATTGAATTTATAGTGTGATTTATGATATAGACCAACCATGTGCATTTTCTATATGTAGGAATCCATTAGAGGACACACTCTGATTAAAAATTAAACAATGAAAGGTAAATCAAAGCAATTTTTTATGTTAATAGGCTTTGGTGTTTAAAATAATAATAATTAAATATGTTGTGCTTTTTCTTTTGGCAGAAGGTGCATCTATGTAATCAGAATGTTGATCAGAATCGTGCTGAAGACTACGTCCTTACGTACAACTATGAAGGCAAAGGATCAGTGGCTGGATCTGTAGGTTGTTGCAGTGAACGACAAGAAGATGATGGACTTGAATTTTTGGATCATTTGGAGCCCAAGTTTAGGACTCTAGCAGAAACATGCGTAAGGAGATGAACATGCTCTAAGAAGTGTTTTGTAGAAGCAAGTGTCTTTACTATCTTTGTTGTTGTTTCTTTCATTGATAAGCAAGGACTTTTTAAAAATAGAAGATGCTCTATCTGGGGCTTTTACCATTTATTTTGATGGAAGCTCATTGGCCAAATGAACATTTACAGAGAGACACTTTAAAAAAGTACATATTTTCCAATATTTGCTTAGTTTTTTCTTACTTGTTCTCCCACACAAGGAAATCTAAAACCAAGGAAATCTCCATTGTTGTTTACATTTTGGAATGATGACAACCGTCAATTATTTGTGCAATAAAATTTAATTAATTCAAGTCTACATTATAGACTCCTTGAAGTATAATCTAGTGGAAGATTAAAGAGAATTTGCTTTAACATTATCTCCAGTTAACCAGTTTTTGTTGTGGTACTTAAAAAATGTTGTTCTTCTAAACATTCTGAAGTGTATATATTGCATTCTTGATATTGTCTTTTTCTTGTAGCATGACCTGTCTTCATAAAGCACATGGAGGCTTCCTCTTGTACATCTTCTCTGTTACTACTTTGTCGGTGAATTTTAAGTTTCAAAAATGCTCTCAGAATGTACTTTTATTCTTGCTAGTTTTTGGTCTTTGAAATGCCAAATGGTGTCAGTCTGTGTCAGTCCCTTCTCTTTATCCTTAAAATGTCCCGTTTGAGATGTGTAATCTCAAGTTTTATCTCTTATCTTCGCTTATAAAGTATATTATTTCTTTTTTTTTTGTTTTGTGTAAGCATATGTACATTCTTAAAACCAATGTAATGTTTCCTTTATTGTTTCAAATATCTTGATGATTTCTTCATTACATCCTTAACAAAGAACCTTTAATTATGTCATTGAAACTGTAGAACTATGTCATGTTTTGATTAGAAGCAACATTCTACATACCCACTCCTCACTTATCAACATGGTTAGGTTCCAAAGACCAGTTTGTTATGCAAAAATTGGCATTATGCAAAAATGGAGGATGACTACATGAGATCACAAAATGGAGGATGACTACATCATTACATAACTGCCAAATTATATTATGACATAATTGCCAAATCACTGAGAAACCTGGCCCAGCCAAGGTGACACATAACCTTAACCATCACAACCAGAGTTACTTTTGCTTTGCATCCTGGCATTCATTACTGCCAGATGTACATCATTAGTTCACAAAACAATTGGATAGTAAATTTTTTACTATGCTTGTAAATGGCTAAATGTTGATAATGAGATAGATGAAAAGTGAGGAGTAGGGTATATTAACAAAAGGAGTGGTGTAATTAAAATTGGGATATGGATACAAATATAATAGCATATGTTCAGTTCATACATTTAATATAGGATGCAGTTTGTAAATGCAAAACAGTGACACTTTTTTAAAATAAACTTAAAATATCTTGTTAACTAGAGATAATTATTTTATACCTTTTTAGATGAGATGGCTAGTCATATCTATGTTCTTGTAAAGTTATTTTTTAATATTTCAAAATTATAGTTTTTAACCAATGTAGAAGTGGGCCAAACTATTTAAATTTTGAAAAAAGACAAAATTAAAATCAATAAAAATCATGTCAGATTTTGATAGATTTTTGTCATTGGAATCTGTATGTATATTGACCATATTTAAAGTGTATTTCTAATGCTTGTAATTGTTAATGTGCTTATCTTAAAATCCTCAGGTGGTTTATAACAATTATTTTTAAGGGTTAGCGTTAACTAGTTTATATTTTCAATAGTTTTATTATTACGCAGTCAGAACTAAAATTTTCCAAAGCTATTTTTAATAAATTATATACAAAGTTCTTGTCTCTTACTAGTTATGATAAAGTAGTTTAAAAGTTGGTGTGGGTTTGTTAATTATATTTCTGATGTGAGCTTAAGGGATTTCATTTTTCTTGCTTAGAGAAATGAGTGTGTACTTGAGAATCCTTTGATTATATACAATATACATATACATCTAGAACATTAAAATTTGATTTTGAAAGACCTTTGGTCCATTATTAACACCACATTTGCATAATTTTAGTATGTTGTGATTTGACTATGATGTGATGTTTTATTGGTTAAGTTGCATAAAGTCTGTGTCAGTTTTTTTTTCCATCTTAAAATGGGAGATAGTAATAGAACTCATTTTCTAGAGTAGTTGTAAGGCATTTGAATAAAAAATGTTTTTTTGAGCATGAAAGTCATACAGAATGGTCCACATAAAAGGCATTTCTAATGATACTAAATGGTTTCAAGTAAGTCACAATGTATAACCCATTTCATGTTAACAAAATCAATTAAGAAAATCAAAAGCTGCAAAGTTTTTTTTTATTTATTTTTAACTTTAGAATGTTTGTCAGTTGAGAATATGTTTCTTTCTAACTCTTGCCTCTTCAGTTTGTCATTCCCAGCATAGTAGACCATATGATTGCCCAGTTCAAAATGGCCAATACCAGTCCACTTCAGCTCATTAATGCCTAGAATATCAATTTTCATGCATTCCATACATTATTGACAGTTTCTACTTTTCTTAGATTCATCCTTCCTACAGTCAATATTCTGATTATTAATGGATATTTATACCCATTTCTTCTCATTTTGAGTCATGCCACATCAGCAATTGAATATCCCAAAAACTACTCCATCCATGTCATTAAGGTGGACTGTACTTTGGGCCATCACCATGGTAACCCTAAGAGCAATGACTCTATAAAAAGTGTATCTTGATGCAAATCTTTGCTGTGCTTTTCCTACTTGGAGGACCTGAATTGAGGAGTCAGATGGTGAGGAGTATAGTTTACAGGACTTTGTCAGAGTTAAAAGAGTTAATTAATGAAAAGTGTTGGCACAGACTTAGCACTCAATACATACTAGATACTATAATTATTTTATGGGAAAAGAACACCTGAATTGGAAATATTCACATCCTAGTATCGACTCCACTTTACAAATGACATCTTGTAATGATTGTCCCCATCAACTTTCCCAGAAACCTGACCAGTATTACCTGTGATGGTTTTGAGAATTTCATGACCCATAATAGTTTCCAGCTCTGTCATTCTTGGCACTCATGAAGCTTCATCTTACTCAGTCATAGCCCATGAATCAGTATGACAAATCTTTACACTGAGCAGGTAAAACTACTTTTTACACAGGCAGGTAAAACTACTAATAAGCCATGTTTTCCTCAAGGAAGAAAATTCTTAAGGATTTTCCTTAAAAAATGGATAGTACTTCTTCAACAGGAAGAAGGTAACAGGTATTTGCTGTTAGTTCACTGTGGCTTTTATGGGGGCTCTTTCTGTAATCATTTTCTACATTTTTTGATGCTCATCTTAAGGCTGGTTTTTATTTTAGATCTTGATTCTGTTGAGCAAACTCTGTCTTTGAACACAGGCATATTGCAGTCTTGATATCAGGCTTCTGGCCTGGTCATTCCCTTAGTAACATCCAGAGAATAAAATACTTTTCCTTCTATGTGCCTAGATTCATCGTAGTTTCAATTTCTTGAATAAAGGATGCTCCAAGGGTTTATGGGTTACCTCTGTAGATAAACAGCTCTTATTCAGGTCTTCTGTGAAACCTTCTCTTATCTTCAAGTATTTTAAACTTGTTATGCAAAAAGAGAAACATATTACATTCCCAAATCAGATCAGATCTTCCTGGATTTCCAATATAAATAGTGTTCTCCTGATTGATAGGCTTGAAATAGAACCCTTGATTCTTCTTTCTCCTTTGTATAGCGCATCTTAATTGTTACTAAAAGTAGCCAATTTTTCTGAGAGTTTTAGGAGCAATTTCTTTTCCTGGTTAATTCACTTCTTCTACTGTCTCCATTTGACTGCTAACCAGAAGGCTGGCAGTTCAAACCCACCAGCCACTTCTTGGAAGGAAGATGGGGCAATCTACTTCCATAGTGATACCACCTTGGAAACCCAAGGAGGGGTCGAAATGAGTAGGATTCAACTAGATGGCAGTGAGTTTGGTTTTTGGTTTTTAATGTCTCCATCAACCAGAAGACATTTGTGCACCTAGAAAACATTACTTGTAAAGTTTTCACTTACAGCTTTGTGTATCTGTGTGTGAATGTTCTTTTTCTCTTGTGTGGAAAGCTCACTGCAGACCAAAATATTCACATTTGTATACCTATTTGTATACCATTTCTATACCCAGAACTCAGGCCATCACTACCTTTTGATGAATCAAATTGTATTGTCTAGGTTACAAAGGAAAAAATTAGAAGTTCGGTCTTTTGTTTCCTAGAATGCTACATTCAGTCCTTATTGACATGGTTATGTCCCAAAGACCAAGTCATTATGTGAAAATCAGCATTACACGAAAATTGAGGATGACCACATCAAATCACAAAATGGAGATGACTACATCAAATGTATCTGCCAAATCACATAAATTCCAAATGATAATCACTATATAACTGCCAAATCACTGAGAACCATGGCCCAGCTGAAGTGATATAATAATCATCATAGCGTTACTGTCATCTTGTACCTCAGCATTCATACTACCAGACATACATCATTAATGTGCAAAATAGTTGCATAGTAGATTTTTTACTATTGACATAAATGCAAAATATCAGATAATGGTATACTCAAAAAGTGAAGAGTAAAGGTATTTTTCCCTTCACGTAAGTTTTTCATTATAGCTATATGATGCATGCTAGATGGCATAGTGCCTAAGGCATTTGACTGCTAACCAAAACGCTGGTGATTCAAACCCACCAGCCACTCCTGGGAAGGAAGTTTGGGTAATCTAGTTCCATAATGAAACTGCCTCAGAAACCCAAGGAAGGGTCACTATGAGTTGAATCCGACTTGACGGCAGTGAGTTTGGTTTTTTTTGTTTTTGAGATTCTGCATTGACTTTTTTTTTTTTCATTATAGAGACATCAAATTAATAGAAATCAAACATTTGCATTCACTACTTAGTTCAAGAAAGTGAGGCAGTGGGGTTTTGAAATTCTTTCCTTCAGT